GTCAAAAATGTAATTTGCCCAGACTCTGCTCTGTATACCTCCCATACAATTATTGGTAGATTGCTGTTTCAGGTATGCTTGAGCTTTCTCTATATAGTTTAATTGTTATTGTTTTATTGTTCATCAGAGGATATAATAAGGCCAACTGTAAGCAGAGATTGGAAATCCTGTAAACTGAAAAACTGATTTTCTAGTACTTTGTACTAAGTTCTTTGATATTCCAGAACCGTGGGATGGGTGAGAGCTAGAATAGCAGCTGGATTATAACTCCAGGATACTACAATTCAAATCTCTGCTCTGTTATGGAAACCCTGGGCAAGTCACACTCTCTCAGTCTTTGAATAAGATAGAGATGACCCTTGGAATAAATCTTGCTGAGAAAATCCTATGCAAGGATCAACTTAATTAGAGTTAACTTGAAGGTACATAACAACAGCAAACTTAGTGATGGGCGGTGTGCTGTGACTGCAGTATAGCTCAAGAAATATATTTTTTTTGTATGAAAAGCAATGAAATAGGGCAGAATAATTGTTACAATTTCCCTATTTTCTTATATAACTGTTGTTACTGACTGTGTTGCAGATTTCTACAGCCAACTGCTGTTGCCAAAGAATGGGAAGTATAAGAGAGGCAAACTGGTAGTGGGCTACTTTCTCTTGGTAGAAAACTGTATTATCTCAAGTAAGACAGCCATTGTCGTGTAGGTCAGAGTGATGATTATGACTCTGGAGACTAGATTTCAATTCCTAAATTGGCCATGGAAATCTACCGAGTGACCTTGGGCAAGTCCCACACACTCAGCCCCCCAAAAATCCCATGACAAAGTCACTCTAGAGATGACATAAATTGGAAATGGAGGCACACAGCAGCAACAACAAAAGTGCCTTGACTTCTTGAGTCATTGTTATAGTTAATAGGAGCCAGATCATTTATTTTGTTGAACTTTCCTATGCAGTGTGCTTTGCGATGCACTTTCCACATTAATTTGTTGTTGTGTACCTGCAAGTCATTTCTAACGTATGGTGTGCCAAAGATGAACCGATCATGGGGTTTTCTTCTTGGTAAGATTGGTTCAGAGGAGGTTTGCCTTTGCCTTTCTCTGAAGCTGAGAGCATATGACTTGCCCAAGGTCATGGCTGAGCAGGGATTTGAACCCTGGTCTCCAGAGCATAGTCCAACACTCAAACCACTACATTAGGCTGCCTCTCTTCCAGATGGATAGTTATGGGCAATATCAAACAGTTTCGGAAGGGAGGATCAGGATCTTTGCCCTTGGAATATATCAAGCAACAACAGCAAACCATCTGGAAGAACCTTCCTGCTAATCAGAGAGATGAGAGGTGTTAACTTCAACAGACATTGTAGCTTTTGGCAAGGAGGTTAGGGGAGCAGTCAGGCCACTTTTAGACTGCAGTCTGGGGGCAAATGTTAAAGAACTGTATGGCCCTTATTTTTTCTGAGTAGGATCTTAGAGGCTGGCTCTGCTAGGTGCTCCCTTCCAGAACCTGTGAAAATTTACCAAGAAGTAGATCTTGAGGCCTTTAATGGGGCTTATTCCCAAATAGTTGGAAACATGTATTAAACAAGAATGGGAATTGTTGGGACTTCCAGATATTGTACGACTGCGAGTCCCAGCAGCATTAAAAAGGGTAGACCATGATGAGGAATGCTGGGCCTTACAATCCAACAACATCTGCAAGGCTTCAGGATTCCCTTCCCTGTTTCAAAATCTTAGAATTGATTATGACATTCAGGGGTAGGCAACCTTTCCCCTTTAAGGGCCGAGGGACTTCA